ATATATATATAGACTAATAATATACGCTCATTTTTAAAAAGAAAAATTTAAAAATGCAAACAATGATAGGATCAAGAGATACAGAGTTAGATATCAACTATTTTATGAGATCATTACTTAATGAAAAAAGAAATGCTACATAAAATTGGATTATTATTTGGGATTGATGTATTCTTAATCATAATTGATACTTTTTTAGTCCAATCTATTTGAAATTTATATATATAGACTAATAATATACGCTCATTTTTAAAAAGAAAAATTTAAAAATGCAAACAATGATAGGATCAAAAGATACAGAGTTAGATATCAACTATTTTATGAGATCATTACTTAATGAAAAAAGAAATGCTACATAAAATTGGATTATTATTTGGGATTGATGTATTCTTAATCATAATTGATACTTTTTTAGTCCAATCAATATTTGAAATAATAAGAATAAATGCAGAATCTGCTGAAATGCCCAGCATTTTGTCTCTTGCTTCATCCAAAGCAAGATGCAAACTCAGACTATCTTTTCCAGTCCTGACTGTCTAAATAAATTCAAAAGAAGATTTCTGACATCCCTACTAATATTACTAAAGTCCTTGTAACCACCTGGCTTTCTTGGAAATATTTGGCTGTCTAGCACTGAGGGCTGCCCTAAGGTAGGGCAGTTTCAGCTCTCAAACCAAGAAAGTCTCAGGAAAAAGTGGGCTGAGTGTGTCACTCTCCTGCATGTCCATGGTTTGAGTTTGTCAGTTTTGAGCTTCACTGGTACATTTTGGAACATTCTCTTCATTCCATGTTTCTAGAGTCTTCATCTTGGGCCAGTCAGAATCCCCAGAGGCAATTTCCACCTCCAAACTGAAGAGCCAAGGCCTATTCTGCCAAAGTTCTGGCAGCCTCCACGATGCAGTCCCATCATTCCTCTGATTTTAATGTAGAATCCACATCATCTAATGTTCCCAGCATCCCTCAGCCCAGTTCTCTCACCGTGGTGCACCAGCTCTTTTGCCTCCATTCACCAGCCCTGGCCACTCTCATGTTTATAAGATGCTACCACAGTTCCAGATATCGTGATCTGACAAGACTGAAGGAGACAAAAACAAGGTCTCTCCCTTAACGCCCTTGACTTCTCTTCAGGCAAAAACCACCGTTCCCAGAAGTCTCCTGTGCACTTCTCTTTGTCTCTGATTGGTCAAAGCTGGTCACATACCCACATCAGGACCAATGACTGGCAAAGACAAAGAGGAGGAAGATGATATACTTATACCAAAAATGATTCTTTCCCTTGGCCTGGACACATTAACACTGGAACACATCAGAGTTTGCTTAGTAAGAGAGGAGGGGCATGAATGCAAGTCTGCCATTATAAGTGGCTGACTCAGCATATACAAGCAACGTATTCACTTAACTCCTACCTGGATTCTAGGGATTAAAGTTGCAAAGGCTTCCCACCCCTTCAAGTACCCTATGGTCTGCCATTCTTGATAGTGGGCCCATTTGGGGGAATAATCCTTCTAAACTGGGAATATCTAAGACCTGGTTGAGAGGGGCCTATCAGTACAAGAAGCCTACTGAAAAAAAAAAAACGTCCCGAAGAAGAAAAGGTTTCCATCACTGTGTCAAATAATATTTATTTAATACCTGCTACAGTATTAATACCTACTGCAGTATTTTTCTAGTCACAATGCTAAGGGTTACAAACATGATGGGGAGCAGGATAAATGCAAAGAGAAAACCACTGTCACTGAGGCAACTTTCCATCTTGGGACCTATCGATTGCATCCGAGGGAGATGAACCTGTGTTAGAATGAGTGTAAACTCCAAGAGCAATATCAGTAACAATCTGTTCTCTTCTTTTTATTCTTATAAGTTTTGCAAGGCTATGTTAATCACTGGAAAGCTATTTCCACAGGTCCCAGGGGTCTTGCCTCATAACTAGAAGCATTTGGCAACCTGGTTGCAGAACTGAGTTGGCAGGTGAGTCGTTTCCCGCTAGAGTCCACCCACATTGGTGCGTCACCTAGTCAACGCCGCTGACCCTCAGTAGCTCCTCTGAGGCCTAATGAAGAGGATTCCGGTGCCCACAGAGCCACCAGGGGGAGCCCGAGGACCTCGATGAATTTCAACATTCGCCAAAAGCCAGCATGCCAGTTCTCCAACTCACCCTCGGTTTGCGTAGTTTCCATTTTATTATTATTATTTATTATTATTATCATTATT